GTGGCGCAGTTTCGGCGTCGGCAGGTGACGGCGCATCGCTGGGAGAGAGTCTCCTCGCCGTTAGACGCGGGCCCCCCCCCCCCCAGCCCCCGGGCGCACCCGAGAGGTAAACAGCGCGAGGAGCTGGGCTCAGTCGCCAAGTATTTTGCCGGAGCCTGCCCCCCATGTGCACCCGAGAGGTAAACGGCGAGATGGGCAGGCTAGCCTCGAGCCAGCCAGCGGATGGTGACGCTGCCCATTCCACGCTGAAGCTTGGGGCGGAGGAGGCGTTCGGCTCGGCGCCTGGCATGCGTGCTGTTGGCGACGTTCGCAGGGGCGCTGCCGCGTCGCTGGCCACGTCGCCTTCGGCGGTGGCGCGCACGAGAGGCAGGCCCAGCGGGGCCGCGACCGTGTCGGTGGAGGTCGCGGGGGAGCTGGGGACCCAGGTTTGTTGCGAAGCTGGGCCTCAGCGAGGTGGATTGGAGATTCGTGCGCGGCGGCTTTCCCAAGGTGGGCCGGACGCACTTCGCGGTCGCCAGCCCCGAGTTTGGGAGGAGGCCAGGCCCCCACCTGCTGAGAGAGAAGGTGTGGAGTGCGCAGGGCCTCGCCCCGTGCCTGCCTTCGTCGCGCCCGGCGCGACAGGTAGCCGGCCCCCGACCCCCTCCCGCCGGAGGCTGTCCGACAAGCTTTCCACCAAGACCGAGAAGCATATTCTGGTGTGCGAGAACTTATTGCTACGTATGGAGTCTCGTGCTGGCATTTGGAATTATCTGGACGTTCATGCCAAGGGCGCACTCGGGCTCGGCATGGGCTCCTCTCTGCAAGGCGATTTCGAGCAGCAGATCGACGGGGTCCTGGCGAAGGCCGAGGCGATAAAGCGCACTCACGATCAGATGATCGCCCATGGCTGGAAGTTCTGGGCCGAGGCTGCCTTCGAAGGTGGAGCCAGTCGCGCTCGCAAGTTCTCCAAGCCGCAGTCCCTCCAGGAGATCATTGACCTCGGCGAGGGTGTGCAGCGTGCCTACCAGCTCACCTACACGAAGCTGGAGTATTGGAATGGCTTCTGGTAACATCATGATGCCCAACCTGTTGAGCTTCCTCCTGACGCCGCGGATTGGGGCCCGCTCCCGCCCCTCTCTGGCAACGGCATCCGCAAGGCTATTCGTGCCTTCAGTTGGGCTACTGGGGCGGGGCAGGTCAAGATCGTGCCGCGCGTGCTTGCCCAGCTGTCCGACGCAGCTTTGAGTGCGATGGCTACAGTGTTCCGCCGATGTGAGGAGCTGCTACTCCTGGCCTTAGGAGAGGCTCATTTCCAAGATGGTACGACTCCTCAAACCGGGGGGAGGGGAACGCCTCCTCGCGCCCCCCAACACACTCATTCGGGTCTGGGGCCGAGCGCGTAGCCCGGTTTCGGCAGATTGGGAGCGGCGCAGTGCCAGCGACGAGCTCTGGGGCCTATCCGTGGGCAGTCCTCCGCCGATGCAGCTGTCGACCTGGCGCGCGAGAAGGAGACGGCGCAGCTGCCTGGCAAGCGCGCGTTGGTCGTCCTCCTTGACATGATCAAGTGCTACGAGATGGTCAAGCACACGGCCATCCTCAGCGAGTGCAGAGCAAACAAGTTCCCCATGCGTTCGGCATGCATTTTGGTGTTGCTCCACGAGCAGGTGCGTTCCATCTTCGCATGCAAGTCTTTCTCTCGTGCTCAACAGGTGCGCCCAGGTACACAGGCAGGACGCACGCGCGCCACCGCGCGCAGCATCAAGCTGACCACCACTGTTACGAAGGAGGTACGGCCAAGAGACCTTGTCGACGACGTGGCTTTGAGTTGGACGGGCCTAGACCCCCGTGGTTCTCAGTCTGTGGCTACGGCTCGCCAAGTCTTCTGCGAGTCAGTGCGCGCCTTGGGCCTCATCCAGTAACTCGGCAAAGTCAGGCCACCTTGCTTTGACGCGTCAGACAGCTTCACATTTGAAGTCTGTTGCCAAGATGCTCAAGATTGCTGGCAAGCGTCACATGCGGCACCTTGGCCGCGACCTCGGAGCAGCAGCAGCCGCGCGCGGGGCGCAGAAGGACCGCCTGGAAAATCACGGCAGTCAAGCCATAATCCGCGCCCTTCACCGGGGAGCTGGACGCGCCAAGACAGCCAGAAGTTGGACCACAGGCGCGCTCCCTTCAGTTGGCCACGGGGCAGCGGTCAGCGGTATCAATGACAGCGAGCTGATGCAGATGGGGATCGTTGGTGGGAGTTCCTGTGGGTTCCCAGGCTCAGGCTCGCTCATCCTGTACCTTGCCGCGCAGCAGCAGCGCACATACGACCCGATTTGTAATGCCACTTGGAGCATCCTGCAGCTGCATTCGGCCTGGGCATGGGAGCTTCGCGGATCGCCATCGCACCTTCTGCAGGCGCGGATGGCGCTGAGCGACCAGATCGGGGGCGCCTCTCAGTTTACTTGGGCTAGCGCCAGAGGACCGCTGTCAGCGCTCTGGCTCGCGCTGAGGCGAGTGCGCTGGGACATGGCGTCGTCCACGGTGGTCGTCGGCGACCTTGGCGTAGCGCATGACTTGCTCAGGGTGCCCCCCAGCGAGTTGAAGCGCCACGTGTTTGCCAGCCTGGAGAGATGGCAAAGCCACATGGTTCTGGATCACCTGCCTGGAGCTCCGCAGCGGGAAGAAGGAGGTGGCCGTCTGCACGTCAGGATGCGCGCTTTGAGGAAAGGTCACTTGCAACCACGTTTCCATGGTATTCGTGGTGCTCCGGCCACGTTGCAGTCTAACGGCATGTGGTTGTCTGAGAGACGGCGTCAAGTTGGCTACTCGGACCACGCGAACTGCAAGTTCTGTGGCCATGAGGCCTCGAACCTAGAGCTCGAGACCTTCTACTGCTCGATTCGCGAGCCGCAGGAGGAGCACCCCGACCCCGACGACGTCTTGCATGCCAGGAAGGATATCTGGAGTCAGGGGCAAACAGGCGCTGGCCTGGAGTGGGACTTCGCCCCCGTCAACATGCTCTACGCCATTCGTCTGAGGCATGAGTTCAGGCCCCCCGAGCCTTGCGCGTTGCCCGTCAAAGAATTGGGGTGCAGTGGCCGTTCCGTGGCCAGGAAAAGTTTGCGGTGATGGATCTTAGTTTGACAGTGATCTTCCCTGAGCCCAGGAGATGTGGATGGGCCGCGGTGGCCCTCGCGCCCAGCCTCGCCCCTTTCAAAGCTATAGTTGGCGGCCTTGGCGGCCCTTTTCAGACTGCACCCCGCGCAGAAAGGTTTGCTGCACTGCGCGGGCTGGAAGATGTTCCCAGGCCGACCGATCATCTGAGTCTCGCCCGTGAAGGGGCCGCGTGGGATGGCGCGCAGGCTAGACTTCTGGCCCCACACGCAAGCGTCTGGCGCACAATTCATCAGTTGTACAGTTCTGGCGCACGCCGACGTATGCATACCTGGACCAAGGCTCGTCGTTCGTGCGACGAGGGCCTGTCTGCGTGCATCGACTCAGGCGAGGCGCTAGATAAGTTTCTTTGGCAACCTGTGGGCCGACGGTTTCGCAAAGATGGCCGCGCTCGAGATGTCGGGGTCGTCTTCGATCGTCAAGCGTTTCACGTTTCAGTTAGAGTAAGCGCTTAGCCGCATGAGGTCTCTTGCGCTCGCAGCGGAGAGGGTGGCAAAGATGGCCAGGTCCACCGCCAGGAAGCCCCTCGCGCCAGCCCCCGGAGCTCGGCGCGCCAGGAAACCCACCACGCATGTGTTCGTCGCGTGGCCGAGGCCGTCGGCCTGCTCGGCGCATTGGTGCTCGAAGATGCCCCAGTTTCGGACTCGCGGCCCGCGTCGGCCGCGCGAGCTCCTGCGCGCGGCGCTGGCATCTGGCCGCGCATTCAGGGCAGCCCCAGCCTCGCTGGGTCGCCACCATTTGTCTCGAGGCGGCTTCGTGGTTCACCTGGCCGCTCTCTGCGCTGCTCCACTGCTCCTCCTCCCCCCCCCCCCTTCCCCTCCGTGGCCATTTTGGCTCAAGTCCGCCCCCGCCTCGGGGGCCTCGGACTTCGCCGAAGTGGTCGCCACAGTTGTTTCGCCCAAGGCCCTCTGGCCCAGCGCCGCGCCGCCACCGTTTGAGGCCCGCGGAGCCACGTGTCCACGGGATGGCGTCTGCTGCCTCTGCTGCTGACGCCGTTCGTCATGCCGCACCGCAGGAGCGCTGACCATCTGCGTCGCCGCGATTGCCGCGCGCTGCAAGGCGGTCGCGGCCCAGCGCGAGTTGACAAGAAGCGCCAGACATTTCAACTACACGTCATTCTTCCGCACGCTGCTGAGTTTCCTCCCGGTTTGCGGGCGATTACTCCGCTGGGCATCTGCATTGGCAGCGAGTTGCCGCTTGTCGCGAATTTCTTCCAGTTGATCCGTGGGTGACCTCCTGGCGTTGCCCCTGGTCCTGAAGTTCAGCCTCACCGCCCGCCCTGCTGATGCCGATGCTGCACCGGCCCATGATGAGCATGCTCGCGCTGGCACCGCCAGTGGCCGCCCTCCTCGCCGCGACGCTGAAGTAGAGGTCCTGCGAATCGGCGCTGGACCGCTTCCTGCCCATGGCGATGGCCCACGTTCACAAACCGCTCTGGGTTATGGCGCTGAGCCTCTTCCTCGGCTTGTCGCTGGCGCTCCTGATCCTGTCCTGCATGCCGCTACCGCCAGTGGCTCCCGTCCACGCGACGCTCGCGATGCACCCGGCAATGGCCCGCGTCCACAACCGGCTCTGCAGCGTGCCGTTGGGCTTCTTCCTCGGCATGTAACAGGCGCCCCTGGCCCTTCTCTGCATGCCGCTGCCGCTGTAAGCGCCCGTCTGCATAATGAGTATGTCCTGCATGCCGCTGCTGCTGGCGGCGCCCGTACTCGTGTTGCTGGCGATACTCTCGCTGATTTCCGCCCACTTGTCTTCGAATGACATCGGGTCGCACGGCGTTAGACGCTACTCCACAACAGGTCCATCATCCGCTGCTTCGACGCGTGGTTCGTCCTCCAGACGAGGTTTGCGCTGAACATGGTGGCGCTGCCGCTGGTGGCGAACAGGCGCACGTAGACGCTGCCGCGTTTGGCGACCAGTCTGCTTTCGAAGTACATCATGTTGCTGACCACGATGGCGCTGCCGCTGGCGGCGAACAAGTTCACGTCGACGCTTCCGCGCGTGGCGTACATCCTGCTCTCGAAGTATAGCGCGATGCCTTTCCTAGTGAACGTGAGCTCGACGACGTCCAAGACGCTGCCGCTGGCGTGGATAGCGCTGCTCCTGCTGGCCCTCGGCGAGCGCCTGGGCTGTCCCTGGGGCGCCGCACCTTCATCGCTCCGACCTGCTCCAACTCAGGTGCTGCAGTCTGGCTCTCGCTGGTCTGGTCGATGAACTCGTGCCCCGTGCCGTCGCGCCTCATGACGATGCTCATGCTGTTCCGCTGCTTGGAGTGGCGTCCGCAGCCCATCATGCAGCTCGCTACGTGCACCCACGTGGAGCGGTCGACCACGGGTGGGGGGGGTATCTGCTGGGACTACGAGCACCGGCGCCGGGATCGATTGGCTGACCCTGCCGCCCATGTTCACCCCGACGATCACGTCCTGCCTGATGCCGCCGCTGGTGGCGCACAACCCCCTCCCGTTGAACGAGTCCCGCATCGCGCTGCCGTAGGTGGCGAACGTCTCCGCCCTGAAGACTTCGCCCTGCACGATGCTGGTACTTGTGGCGACGGATTGGCTGACGCAGCCCATCCTGCACGTCCCGAAGAAGCTCTGCGCGGTGATGCACGCGCCGTTGCGCCGCCTAGCGTGGCGGCCGCTGCGCATGAGGCCCCTGGGGCCACCCGCCACTGTAGCCCTGAGCCCACCGTCTGGCTCACTCCATCCCGCTCTTTCCCGTTACTCCTGCCACCCATCCCTGCTTTTCCCGCTTCCCCGAGCGTTGACATCGAAGTGCGCCCGAATGTTGCGGCCATCGCAGCCACATATTACAGCGTAGCTGAGTATTCGGCGTAGCAGTGGGTGGGAGCGAGTGGGATCAGCATCTGCCCTCGTCTCGCTTCTTGTCCGCTTGCCCTCGTCTTTTCTCGTTCAAGCTACCCGAACTCCTCCCCCTTCCCCCCCCCTCTTGGTTATCCTCCTCCTCGTCCTCCTCCCCCTCCTCCTCCCCTCCTCCTCCTCCTCCTCCTCCTCCTCCTCCTCCTCCTCCTCCTACTCCTCCTTCTCCTCCTCCTCCTCCTTCTCCTCCTCCCCCCCCTTCCTTCCCCTACTCCTCCTCCGCCCAAGGTGCCCCCCAGTTCCCGCTCCACTTTGCAGCGCCCGGGGCCCCCTGGGCCTCGCGAAGGGTGCTCTGAAGGCCGTGGTGGGCACGCCTGGACATCGCGGGGGCACCTTGCGGCCAGGGGCAACGTCCCGACACCTCTTCGCGCCGCGAACAAGCAAACGACGACCGAAGGTTTTCAGACGCTTTCGGCCGCTTGGGGCTTGGGGGGTCCTCCCTGGGCGGCCTCCTCCTCCTCCTCCTCCTCCTCCTCCTCCTCCTTCTCATCCTTCTTCTCCTCCTCCTCCTACTCCTCCTCCTACTCCTATTCCAACTCCTACTCCTACTCCTACTCCTACGATTCCTATTCCTACTCCTACCCCTATCCTTATTCCTTATTAGAATATACTCCTACTCCCCCCTCAGGCCGGCCATTAAGGGCCGCATCCGGGTGGTCCCATCCTAACCTGTAAAAAACAATATAAAATCAACATTTTTCTTATGTTTTCCTCTCGACATGGACGTCCTGTCGTCCACGGCGATAATCCATTGCAAAACATACCACAAAGAGCACACGCGCGCGTTCATGTCAGACTCCTACCGAACACCGTGTGTTTGCAAGCATTTCAACATAAAAACATCAAACACCCAATGTTTTTTTCACAAAAATTGTACAAATTTCCCGCCCGGGCTCTCTTGCTGAAATCATAGGAAAACCATAGGAATCTTAAGAATTCGGTCAAATCCAGCGATTTCACGTCATCGCGCGGTGCACTCGCGATGCTCTGTCATGGACCCAGGCCGCGAATCCTGTGCAAAAAATACCACAAAGAGCACACTCGCGCGTTCATGTCAGAATCCTACCGAACACCGTGTGTTTGCAAGCATTTCAACATAAAAACATCAAAAACCCAATGCTTTTTCACAAAAATGCTTTGGGGTGTCCTGTCAGACCGTCGGGCTTCCTCCGGCCACCTCTGGCTTCCTGCGGTGTACCGGGCCATTCTCGACTCGTCTGGCAATGCGTGCGCGGCATTCAACACGCGCTCGCCAGTTCCCGTCGGCAACCGCCATCGCGGCCGCATCAGCTGTACCAAACCGGCTGGCCGGTGTGACTTCGGCCCCCAGTTGTGCCAGCTTTGCTTCTTTTGTTGTGGGAGGGCGGGTGGGACTGGGCATGCCATGCTTGACTCGCTCGAGCTGGCTAGCTTGACTCCTACTCCTACTCCTCCTCCTCCCCATGTTCCTCCCCCATCCCCCTCCTCCTCTTCCTCCTCTCCTATTCCTCCCCCTCTTCGGACAATCAAAACGCTGCGGGATGAGAAGCCGGTGTCGGTCCGGGAGGGTGGTCTAAACCTCTTGAGAGCCCATGGAGCGACAACAAGTACGACGGAGGTCTGGGTCAGCAGGGACGGACGCGCTCACACGGGGAGCGCATCAACGACGACACAATGGGACGTCGGTGAAAGCGGGTCTGTCCTCTTACAGGAGGAATATTCAAACATAGTCATAAATAGTAAGGATTTTGTTTCAATTATCCCAGCGCGACCCTACCTAGGAGTTGGAACCCCTAGGAAAGCAGCATTAATAATAACAGTAACGCTAAGTTAAAGCTAAGCTAAAACTAAGCCACAGCTAAGCTAAAGCTAAGCTAAAGCTAAGCTAACGCTGAGCAGCAGCTCAGCTAAAGCTAAGCTACAGCTAAGCTCAAGCTAAGCTAAAGCTAAGCTAAAGCTAAAGCTAAAGCTAAGCTAAAGCTAAGCTAAAGCTAAAGCTAAGCTAAAGCTAAGCTAGAGCTAAGCTAGAGCTAAGCTAACGCTAAGCTAAAGCTAAGCTAAACGCTGAGCGAAAAGCTAAGCGAAACGCTGAGCTAAAGCTAAGCTAAAGCTAAAGCTAAAGCTAAAGCTCCCAGGAGACTGGGGGAACCGCTCCCAGGGGACTGGGGGAACCGCCCGGGGCGTGTTCCACTGCCCAGCCCCTTTAAGCTAAGAGAGTAAGAACCCTTCTAGGCAGAGCCTAGGTAGGGAACATGTTTGAACCATTATTGAATATTTGTAGGGATTTTTTTTATTTTTCGTCCAAAATACCCCCGTGGGGGGAAATGCCCGACCTAAGGCGTCGGAGAGGGGGGTTCCCGGACGGGGCTGGGACGAGGATGACCCGGGTCTGGATCGACCCAGGTCAGCAGACCCCCCGATCAGGTATTCCCCGGAGAGTCAGAACACTCTTCAGAAGGCCAGTGGAGGCGTTCTGAGCAGCCCCGCCACCTTCTGAGAAATGATTTGCTTCCTGCTCCCATCCCCTAGCTCGCCGCCGAAGTGCGGCCCGGCCCGGTTCAGGAGGGAAAAAAACATACAGATACAATGAATCGACGATTCCCCGGAAAATATGGGAAGAGGGGGGAGGGGAGACAATCACGAAAAATGCACGAAAAGATTGGGAATCCTGTGAGTTGTGTCTATTTATTTGCGTGTCCCTGGGCCCCTTGACTGGCCCCGAGCCGACGCCCCGACTCGGCGCCGACCCGTCCTGCGCCGGCCTCTTACCGCGGCGGGGCGGAGCCGCAGAGGCGCGTGTCGGGGCGCCGGCGACGGGGGCACCGCACACGGGGGCGCGGGGAACGCCGAGGAAAAGGAGGAGGAGGGGGAGGAGGAGGAGGAGGAGGAGGAGGAGGAGGAGGAGGAGGAGGCCGAGGAGGAGGAGGAGGAGGAGGACGAGGACGAGGACGAGGACGAGGAGGACGAGGAGGAGGAGGACCACGTTTGGCTATGCCCCCGTTTAGGGGGCATAGCCAAACGTGGTCGGGGGTGGACAGGCCCTTCACCCTGACACGTCGATTAGTGATTTGTCCGTTTTCGGTTCTCGAGGGCGCCGCGGCCGATTTTGTTTCGAGGCTTGCGCCCGCCAGGTTTGGGTCCGAGGTCAGTTTCACTAGACCACGTTGTACTAAAGGGGGTTCTGTCCATCCCCGACTTGGCGCCTTCGACGGGGGCACAGCAAACGGGGGCCTATGGAAAGGCCTAGGCCCCCGTTGCGCAAAGAACCCACATTCACGAAGCCCCGACAGCGTGCCCGAGGGCGCGCGGGTCCGCGCCGCCGAGGTGTGCCAGGCGGTGCTACGGTCCCCGCTGAAGTTCCCCTCGCGCTACAAGGACGCCGAAGGCCGCAGACGGCGACGGGCCCGCGCAGTGGTCGTCGATCGCCGACGCCGCCGATCGTCGGTCGTCGGTCGTCGCTGTCGTCGTCCGCGCCGGCCGTCGTGCCTCGTCGTCGTCGGTCGTGCTTCGTCGTCGTCGATGGTCGGCGCCGCCGCCGATCGTCGACGCCTGCGGGGGTGGCGAGATCGCGACACGTCCGCTGCTCCTGGCCAGGCCCATCCTGGACCCGTGAGCGGTGTATGTACGGTAGGTTCATGCGGCGATGGCGCGCCGGCGGCACTGGCGAAGGCGTTCAAGATTGAATTCTGCGACGTTGAAGCATCGATGGACACGGTGACGCCATTGGACTCGACGGAATTCAACGTTGAACGATCGGGGCCGCGATCGATTCAACGTTGAACGATCGACGCGGTGTCAAAAACCTTCACGCGTGCCGACGCCGCGCGAACCGACCGTACATGCCTTCCTGGCTTGGCCAGGAGGGCATGTACACCACTCCTGGGCCCAGGATGGGCCTGGCCAGGAGCAGTGGACCTGTCTAGACCTCGCCGCCGTGGTTGTCATCTGCAGGCGGGGGCGGCGCGTCGGACGCCGTTCGGCGGGCGTCGTCGGTCGCCGACGCCGCCGCCGATCGCCGAACGTCGATCGTCGATCTCCTCGTCCGCCGGCTTGGGAAGCACGCCGAACGCCCGTCGTTGATCGTCGTCGTCGATCGCCGACGCCGCTGCCGATCGTCGATCGTCGATGTCATCGTCCGCCGGCCGGGTCGGCCAGCCGAACGTCGGCCATCGCCGAAGGCGCCCGACGGCCAGCCGGCCCGTGTGAGGACGGGACTGCTGTAGTGATCGGTTTAGTTAGGTCAGGATGCGTTGATTTCCATAGCGTTTAGCTCGAAGAAGGAAAAACGCCATAAGCATAAACTTTTGCCGCTCCGCGTGGATTGCTTGGATCCGCGCTGGGGCCCCCCTGGCGGCGCCTCCGGCGCCGCCCCTGGCGCGCTCCGCGGGCCAGGGAGGGGGTCCAAGAAATCTGTGCGGAGCGCAATGTTTATGGCGTTTTTCCCTTTTCTACTAGCGGCCCTCGTTTCTGCAACCCCTTTGGGATGGTATGAGCCCTTCTGCAGTGCAGGCTTGGCGCAGAGCTATAGGATGCACTTTCACTTTGTCGGTCCGTGGCCGGTGCCTCGACACTCTTTTACAGCTGGAGCTTGGAGATCAAGATCCAGCAATCTCGCAGGTATTTAAGATGCTCGACAGCTGGATGGCCATTCTTGCGTCAGAAGCTGAAGCACGAGCTCTTGCAGCACGAGATTGGTCGCAGCACGTGGCTAAGGCTAAAGAGATTCCTAAGCATCGATGGCGAAGAATCACAGGCCCCACCAGAGCTGTAGTAAACACCCTTCTGGACATCAACTGGGACCCCATTGGACCTTGGCATTGGGTTTCTGATCTTGGGAACGTCTATCAGGCTACTCCAGAGGTCCTTGAAGCAGGTCCACTAGATC